TTTCCATTTCTTATAGGTTTTCAAATTTGTTGGAATATTATTTTTCATAATATTCTGTTATGATCCCTTTTATCTCAGTTGGTTCTGTTGTAATGTCTCCCATCTCATTTCTTATATTGATTATTGGCATCTTCTCATTCTTTTCCTTTGTCAGTTTGGCCAATGGTTTGTCGATTTTATTGATTCTCTCAAAGAACCAACTTCTAGTCTTGTTGATTCTGTTGTTTTTCTATTTTCTGTCTCATTTTTTTCTGCTCTAATCTTTATTATTTCCTTTCCTCTGGTGACTATGGACTTCTTTTGCTGCTCCTTTTCTATATGTTTGAGTTGTAGGGTTAAACTATTGATTTTGCCCTTTTCTTCTTTTTTGATGTTTGCATTTATTGCTATAAATTCTCCTCTGACTGAAATGCAAATCAAAACTACAGTGAGATCCCATCTCACCCAACAAGGCTGGCATTAATCCAAAAAACACAAAATAACAAATGTTGGAGAGGTTTTGGAGAGATTGGAACTCTTATGCACTGCTGGTGGGAATGTAAAATGGTACAACCACTTTGGAAAACGATATGACATTTCCTTAAAAATCTAGAAATAGAAATACCATATGATCCAGCAATCCCACTCCTAGAAATATACCCGAGAGAAATAAGAGCTGTCACACGAATAGACATATGCACACCTATGTTCATTGCAGCATTATTCACAATAGCAGAAAGATGGAAACAACCTACATGCCCATCAACAGATGAATGGATAAACAAATTATGGTGCATACACACAATGGAATACTATGCAACAATAAAGAACAATGATGAATCTGTGAAACATCTCACAACATGGATGAATCTGGAGGGCATTATGCTAAGTGAAATAAGTCAGTCACAAAAGGACAAATAGTGTATGAGACCACTATTGTAAGAACTCAAGAAAAGGTTTAAACACAGAAAAAAGCATTCTTTGATGGTTATGAGGGTGGGGTGGGAGGGGAAGAGGAAATCATTATATAGATAGTAGACAAGGATCAATTTCAGTGAAGGGAAGGACAACACACAATACAGCGGAAGTCAGCACAATTGGACCAAAGCAAAAGCATTGAAGTTACCTGGACACAACCAAACACTTTGGGGGACAGAGTAGCTAGGACTGGGCCCCGGGGACCATAGTTTCAGGGGACATCTAGGTCAATTTGTATAACATAGTTTATTAAGAAAATGTTCTGCATCCCACTTTGGTGAGTGGCATCCAGGGTCTTAAACGCTTGAGAGCAGCCATCTAAGGTTCATCAGTTGGTCCCATCCCACTTGCAGCAAGGGAGAATGAAGAAAGCCAAAAACACAAGGAAAATACTAGCCCAAAGGACTAAAGGACCAAATGAACCAGAGACTCCACCTACCTGAGACCAGAAGAACTAGATAGTGCCTGGCTATCACTAATGACTGCCCTGAGGGAATACAGCAAAGAGTCCTGGACAGAGCAGGAGAAAAATGTAGAAGAAAACTCAAATCCACATAAAAATACTAGACTTAATAGTCTGACAAAGACTGGAGGAACCCCCAAAACTACGGCCCCCGGATGCACTGTTAACCCAGAACTGAAACCATTCCCGAAGCCCACTCTTCAGACAAAGATTAGAAAGGACTATAAAACAAAAAATAGTACATGCGAGGAAAGTGCTGCTTAGTTCAATCAGATATATGAGACCAAATGGGCAGCTCCTGTCCAAAAACAGGATGAGAAGGCAGAAAGGGACAGGAACTGGTCAAATGGACACAGGGAACCCAAGGTGGAAAGGGGGAGCGTGCTGTCACATTGTGGGGATTACAGTTAATGTCGCAAAACAATATGTGTATTAATTTTTGAATGGGAAGTTAACTTGAGCAGTAAACTTTCATCTAGAGCACAATAAAAAAAAAAAACTGAAAGAAAAAAATATTCTCCTCTGACCACTATTTCTGTTGTGTTGCAAAGGTTTTGGTATGTTGTGTTTTCATTCTCATTTGCTTCTAGGATTTTTTTTAATTTCATTTTTAATTTCCTGTATTATGCAGTGGTTTTTAAGCAAGGTGTTATTCAGTTTCCATGTATTTGATGTTTTTTCCTTATTCTTCCTGTTATTAATTTCTAGTTTTATAGCATTGTGATCAGAGAAGATGCTTAGTATTATTTCATTTTTCTGAATTTATTGAGGCTTGCTTTGTGGCCTAAAATATGGTCTATTCTGGAGAACGATCCATATGCATTGGAGAAGAATGTATAATGTCCTGCTGACTGGGGGAGTGTTCTGTGTATGTCTATGAAGTCAAGTTAGTTGATTGCATTATTTAGGTCTTCAGTATCTTTGTTGAGTGTCTTTCTAGTTGTTCTGTCCTTCGTCAAAAGTGGCGTGTTAAAGTCTCTTACTATTATTGTGGAACTATTTCTTTTTTCAATACTGTTAAATTTTGTTTTATATATTTTGGAGCACTGCCATTGGGTGCGTAGATATTTGTTATGGTTATGTTTTGTTAGTGGATTGACCCTTTAATCATTATATAATGCCCTTCCTTGTGTCTTGTGATCAGTTTTGACTTAAAGTCTATTTTATCAGAGATTAATATTGCCATTTATGCTCTTTTTTGGTTGCTGTTTGTTTGGTACATTTTTTTCCATCCTTTGATTTTTAGCCTATTTACATCTTTGTGTCTAAGGTATGTCTCTTGTAGGCAATATACTGGTGGGTCATTTTTTTAATCCATTCTGTTACTCTTTGTCTCTTGACTGGTGCATTTAAACCATGTACATTCAGTGTGATTATTGATAGGTATGAATTTATGGCTGTCATTTTGATATGCTTTTGTGTGTGTGTGTGGTGTTCACAATTTCTTTGTTCCACTTAATTATCTGTGCTGAGTTCTTTTTGTTTATGGATTTTCTTTTCTTTTCTTTTGTTGTTGTTGATTTTGTGTTTACTGAGTCTTTATGGTTTTCTTCTGTTTTATTTTGGTGAGTATGTTTATTAATTTTCTTTGTGGCTATTCTAAAATTTACTTTTACTAAGTTTATAACAGTCTGCTATTTCTTGATCTCGCCTTGACTTCCTCTCCATATGAAAGTTCCACATCTACACCATTTATTCCCTCTTTGTGTTTTGAAGTTGTCATTGATTGCAAATTGACATCTCTGGTTCCCTGTTTTCAGTTTTGTAGCTTTATTTTACTTTTGAGAGTTCTTTCTCTGGGTTGGTACCTGCGTGATGCGTGTCTTAATCACAGGTTGTTCTGTGAAGTCACTGGTTCTCTGTCCAAAAGACTCCCTTTAATATTTCTTGTAAGGTTGTTCTGATTTTTAAAAATTCCCTTAATTTCTGTTTATTTGGGAATACGCTAGTTTTGCCATTGTATTTGAAACACAGTTTTGCTGGATGTATGATTCTTGGTTGGCAATTATTTTCTTTCATGGTTTTATATGTCATTCCATTGCCTGGTTGCCTGCACAGTTTCTGCTTAGAAATCAGAGTTTAGTCTTACTCGTGCCCCTTTGTAGATGATATTTTGTTCTTCTCGAGCTGCTCTTAGAATTATTTCTTTGTCTTTGGTTTTGGCAAGTTTGATTATGAAATGTCTTTGTGACTTTCTATTGGGATCTATCATGCATGTGGTTTGTTGAGCTTCTTGGATGGCAACCTTTTCATCTTTCATGATATTAAGGAAGTTTTCTGCCAGCAAATCCTCAAAGATTCTCTCAGTGCTTTTTTTTTTAGTCTCCCCTTGTTCTGGAATTCCAATCACGTGTAAATTATTCCTCTTAATAGTATCCCACATAACTCTTAGGCTTTCTTTATTTTTCTTCATTCTTTTTTCTGATTGTTCCTCAAACAAATTAGTATCAAGGGATTTGTTTTCCATTTTGCTAATTCTTTCTTCCATTGATTCAATTCTACTTTTATGTCCTTCCATTGAATTGTCTATTTCTGATATTTTATTGTTAATCTTCTGAATTTCTGCTCACTGTTTTTGTATTTTTATAATTGTTTATTTAATTTGTCATTTTGTTCTTATATTATTTTCCTGAATTATTCTAGAGTTTTGTCTGTATTTTCCTATGCCTGGTATTTTTTAACGTTTTTACGACATTCATTCCTGCTTCTGGAAGTAAATATCCCAGGCAGCCCTTTAACTCCTATGTTCTGGTATATTCAGAGCTAAGCAGCTGTTCAATATCATTCTCTGCTCACTAATTTAAGGACATGAATTGAGGAAAATTTGCCAGTCTGTGGTGAGGTAGTTGTATGACTCCCTTTATGAAGATAAAATGAGACAATGAAGCAAAGTCATTTAAACTCAAGTTAAAAAAAAATTACGTTCAACTAATGTTTATTGATCATTGTGTTAAGCACTTTTGTATTTATCTGTTTTAGTTCTTGCAGCAATTTTATGAGGAAGGTATTAATTTCCCCGGGAGAGGCAGGTTTTGGAGTCAGACAGCACCACTCACTGTGTGTCTCCTTGGGCATGTTACCTAATCTCTCCAAGGCCCAGATTTCCTTTTTGTCATAGTGAAGATGCTGATACACACCTTGCAGGATTGTAGTAAGGATTACATGAAATAATGAAGGTTTAAAACCTGGCTCAAAGCAGGCATTCAAAGTTGGAGGCTATTTCTTGCAGACAAGACATGAGACTTGTAGACATCAGTAACTCACCTGAGGTTAAACTCCAAGTATGCTGACTCAGAGATTGCTGGGGTATGCTATTATATAGAAATAAGCAGAGAAATTCCCTCTCCACTTCTCTTCTTCCCGTAAGACCCTTGGGTCACAGTGGCCAGTCCTACATTTGCTGAGGGGAGGCAGTAAACAAGAAATTCAACACTGTAGTTGCCCATCGACAGGCAGAAGCACCTTGGCTGGGTGAGTCTGGCCTGTTAGTTATTTGCAGACCCAGCTTTAGACTACTTCTCTGTCTACCTACTAGTTCCCCTCACCAGGAGTTCCCTGAAGTATGTTTCTCTCCTCACAGACACCAACGTGATTCGATATATCCAGCTGACGGAAATGAAGCTCAGCAGATGCTCCCAGAGAGAGAAAGAAGCCATGTAATCAGAAGCCTCTCCAGAGCTGTGCCCATGTCTGACCTGGGACTTCCTGGCACCCCTGGTGGAGACCCCCTCCCAGGGTCTGCTCCTTTCTCCCCACCTCTTCTGGCTCCCCCTCCTTCCTCCAGTTGCCCCTCGACTCTTTGTCTGCTCCCAGTGTGAAAGAAAGAGAGATGCCAATTTGGAAACCAGTGGGTTGCCCGGAAAGTGGAGAAATCCTCTTGTTTAGCAGGCCAGTGACAGAGAAGGGCCTAATTTCTGCTGGGACAGCTGGAGAGGCGTCTCACAGGTCATGAGTGATGTTGCAGCTTTGACTTTGCCAGTGCTTCTGATAGAAGCAGAGCCTGGTAGATATACCATCCCAAAGGCAGCAGGCCCTGAGCCCATGGGCTGAGCCTTTCTATACCTTCCTGACAGATCAGAGCATCTCAAGCCAACTGTGACAAATCCAGGTATGAGACAAACACCAGAAGCATTGGTTAAGCCACATAAGAGACTCTGAATTTGTACACTGGATTCCCTCTCAGTAACTCAGCCCCTGCCTGCCTCCCTCACTTGTTGTCTTGGCTTGTAAACTTTCTTCTCTCCCCACTTGGGGATCCAAGAATCTGCCAGGATTCACATGCCATCGAAGCCCACTCTCAGTGCCCTCTGGTGACCGCACATACCATGCTCCCATACTCCCACTCAGCAGGCAGCTGAACAGCAGCAGGGCAGAGTGAAGTGGGCAAGGGCTGGAGCAGGGCAGACCAAGCAGATTGTGGGGGGAGGGAGAGATGGCACTGTATAGATTAGAGGATTAAATTGTGGACTAATAAGTGTAAATAAAAATAAATTAACAGGCAATAGTTACTGTCATTTCTGTTGGAAGCAGCTCACTCCCTCACTTTAACTCTCTCCGCCAGCCCTCAACCTGCTGGTTACAGCCAGGCAGTTAGAGCTTCTCCCAAAGCAACTGGCCATTTGTCCAGTGGTATGCAATGTTGGCTGCAGTTTTTGTACTTTGAGAGTGGGCTGGCAGTGTGGAGACTGCCCAGTGACTGCGCTTTATCAAGACTTCTTGTTATTGTTGTTAGTTGCCGTCGAGTTGATTCCGACTCATGGCAACCCCCATTGTGCAGAGTAGAACTGCTTCATAGAGTTTTTAAGTCTGTGACCTTTTCGAAGTGGATCACCAGGCCTGTCTTCTGAGGTGCCCCTGGGTGAGTTCTAACCACTAACCTTTTGGTTAGTAGTTGAACACTTAACCATTTGCACCACCCAGGGACTCCTATGTGAAGACTTGTATAGCCTCTTTTTGACGAAATTACCTGAATTCAATATCTAGTTCATAGAATGTGTTTAGCAAATATTTGTTGAATGAATAAATTGTGACTGCAGACTGGCTCTCCTGCCTTAAACTAATTTTATTCCAGCCTAGTATACTGATATCTGTGCTCTTTACACTATGCCATACTGCTTCAGTCAAACAAGAAACATTTACTGAGAGTTTATTGTTTGCCCATCAAAGTGCAATATGCTATGGAACAGAAGATGTAGTCCCAGTCTCTGAGGAGATGGATGAATTGAGAAGTACACATATGAGATTATTACCAGTGACACCTTTAATTTATATGATGCTTTAAATTTTACAAAGCACTTCCAAGTATTTTTTCATGTGGTTAGTGAAAGAGACAATATTGTATAATTTAAATATACACAGATGCAATAACGTTAATAGTTAGCATTTATTAAATGCACTATTCTCAGATCTTTACCTGTATAATCTCATCTCTTTCATGCAATTCCCCTATGAGATATTATTCCCACTGTACGAATAAGAAAACTGAAACCCAGAAAAATTAACTATCCCAAGGTTGCAAGGCCCTAAGTGGCAGAGCTAGGATTTGGGCCAGGTCTGTCTGACTCCAGAGCTCTAGCTCTTAACTACCCTACAAATTGCCGCTGCCAAAACTATTATGTTGAACAGTTTCAACCATTCTGAAGCAGGACAATGTGGAATAAGATGAAAATCCACGACCATATTAATGTTGGTACATGGGCCTCCTCTTGTACTGAGACTAAAGCAGAAAAATTTCCTGAGACCAGACTCCCTGGTGGTCAGAGCACTAACAGGCCAGGAAAAAACAGCTGAGGCCCAGCAGGTATTTTTATGTATTGTTTGTTCTACTTGCTGATGGGCCAGCACTATCCATACGACGCACCTAGCATTCCTTACCCCATCCGCAACATCAGGGAAGAGTCACAATTATAGTTAGAAACTAAAAGGAAACACAAAGTTAATTATGGGTTATTTGTTTAATCAGAGGTTCCACCTTTGCAGGATCCAATCACTGCCCAGAGACCCAGAAGGCAGCAGCACAGGTTATATTCACACAGTTACCCAAAGGCTTTCAATGGGTACTGCAGGAAGGTGCTAGAAATACTCAGGGGCCCACAGTTGCTTGCCTATAGCTCACCTTCTGGAGAAGAGAACAAAGAAAAAGCTGTTCCAGCTACTGCATTCTCCTCCATCCCTACAACGTCCTTTTCTCTGCCCCCTTTCTCCAAAACGACTTCACATGACCCAACTCAGTCTCACCCTGAGAAGTATCATAGGCATATGTGGGAAATGCCCTCACCCTAGACCTCCAGCCCAGAAAGTATGTGAGTTGACAAACTGTTAGGATCTGAAGGATGAAGATGAGGTCAGAGGTGGCTTGCAGGGCCTATTCCATTTGACAGGCTCTTCCTTTGATCTTCTTGCCATCAGGAAGGACTCAGAGTAACTATTTCAGTCATGGAGGCAGGAGAGAGGTCTTGCCTAAATGAGTGAGTTGGGGCAGGGCTGGACAGATGGGGATAAGATTACTGCAGTCCCAAGGCGAGAGGTTGAAAACCGGTACTAAGTGAGGACAACCTCATGGAACCTCACTGAACAGGTGTACAATCCATCTGCTTGTCTGATGACTTAGATACACGTGCCTATGGAACTCCATTCACTCTCACCCGAAGTTAAATGATCCGAAAGAAAAAAGCTGCCTAGGGTATTGGTTGAGGATGTTTGGGAGTGGTGCAGCTGAATTATCTGTACATTTGTCCAATAGAAACTTTAGAGAGCTGTTAAGCAAAATCAAATCCCTTCACCTCACCAAACCTTCAGCTTCCTTCTGCCCACCCCTCCTGACAACAGGGACTGTTGATAAATTACACACTTTGTTTGCAGATGTCACTGCTGAACTATACACGGAATACTAATCCTGGACCTGACCTGCTTTGTCATGTACTTGGACTTTTATGATAGACTGGGTGAAAAGTTATACTTTTCTTTTAATTATGAAAGCATCACATGTTCATTGCAGAAATTTTAGGGAAAAAAAAAAGTTTAAGACAAAAACTTACGCATAATTCTATCACCTAAGATAAACATTGTTATCATTTTTAATATATCTTTCGGTTCTTTTGGATATAAATGCACATAGTTTTGTTTTTTAACAAAAGTTGGATTGTACTGTATATACTCTTTAATAATCTGCTTTTCAAATTGTGTATTTATATTTTACCATATGTAATACATACACAGATTAAAATACAAAAAGTACAAAAGGCTCTATGGTAAGAAGTATATCTCCCTATTGCCCTGTCTGCCAGCCACCCAGTTTCCTGTATATTCTTCCCGAGATATTTATGCATTTTCAAACATATATGTATATGTGTTCTCTTAATACACACAAATGGTAACATACTGGACACACACTTTTCCAACTTGTGTTGCTTCACTTAATGTATCACGAATGTTTTTTGCATTCTCTCAAACTTTTTCAACAGCGTCCTCATTATATGGATGGACCTTCATTTTGTAACCAGTCCCCTCATAGTAAGAGTTCTTTTGTTCCTATTTTTTATTGTGAATAATGTTGCAACCGACATTGTTACAGCTAAATATTTGCATGCATCTATGACTATTTCCTTAGGGTAAAATCCAAGAAAGGAAGTTGCTTGGCTATTTTTAAGAATTTTGATATATGTTACCAGTTGCCCTCCAGAAAACACTCTCCTATTTGCAGTTTTGAGAGTGCCCTGTTCCTTGAGCCTCACTAACACTGGGTATTATCATTTATCTAACCTTATCAATTTGATAGGCAAAACAATACTATTCCGATGTTGATTTAACTTGCACTTCTTTGATTATTAGTGAATAACATTTTCATATACTTATTGACCATTTGTACTTCTTTCTTTGTGAATTTTCTGTTTATTTGATATTGGTATGTTTACCTCTGTTATTAATATGGAATTTTATTAAGAATATTATTTTTATCAAAAGATGCTGCAAATATGCTTTCCAAGTGCTTTGCTTTCAATTTTTGCTTATGGTGCTTTTTAACATACATAAATTCTTAATTCTGCAATTAATTTGTCCCGTAGTTTCCAGCTTCTCCTGCCTATAGTTCATCCTCTCATTTCCATCCCAGCATGATCCTTTTAAAAAAAAAATCTGATCATGTCACTCCACTGCTTAAAGCTCTTTAGACTCCTCATCACATTTAGGATAAAGTCCAAACTCCTTAGCATAGCACACAAATTCTTTGATGAGATTTTTCCCACCTACTTTTCCAGGCTCACCTCCTGGCCCTCTTCCCAAAGTGTCCTGCATTCTACTGCTGCACAGTTTCTTGTGATTCCCTGAGCCTGTCATCCTCAGTCTCTGGGCCTTTTCATGCTGTTCCCTCTGCCCAGTCTGCCGTTCCCCACCTCTTCAACCCTTCCTTTGCCTTGCTAGAGGCACTTAACTCAGGTAGCACTGCTAGAAATCCTGCTTGATCCCTTAGTCTGCACTCCTAAAGCAACATGAGCCTACCTCTGCCTAGCATTTGCCACGATGTATTGGAATTTCCTATTTACATTTCAAGAGTTCCTGGGTGGCACAGACTGTTAAGCTCTCAACCCACCCACAGGTGCCTTGGAAGACAGACCTTCCGGAAGATCATTGCCATTGAAAACCCCACAGAGTACAGTTCTACT